TTTTCGTGCTTTCTCAAAGGTTATCGATTTTTCCACACGAAAAAAAAGTTTCGAAAAATTAAAAACTACATCTTCTTGATCTGCTTGAAAAGTTCTCTTGAATGGTATATAATAAGCTCAAAAATAAGTTCCACTGAAAGTTTGCATTATGTGCATCTTAAAACTATTTCGAAAAAAGTCTATTTGACAGTTTTTTGAAGTGGGCGTTTTCTATCGAACCGGGTGTTTTATCACAAGAAAAATCATGTTGTCAATTTCGCAATGAACACTGCAATTTGTAAGGCAAAAGCGTTGTCTATAAATAGCACATCGTTTTCGTTTAGTTTCAAGAATTACGCTTCAGTGTTAGTCGAACTTATAAATTGCCATCAGAAAAGTTATTTTTTATGGGTAAAAAACGCAACTGTAAGCATGTGGTTGTATGCTTTCTTTGGATGATATGTTCTTCAAACAGTGAAAAAAAAACACCGCGGCTGTACTGGAGAGTAAAAGTACCTTTCGAGCATCAACGTGACATTTCATAAAAGAGGAATATGTTGTTGTTTTTTCTATTTTCAAGTTCAGTCAGTGTCTTGGAGACAATAAAAAGGTAAAGTTAATGCTTAACGGAGTAAGAAAAATTATTGAAAAATATGAAAGAATCATTCACGGCTTGATCACCATGGAACAAAGTAATAAATTTTGACTTTTAGACGCATCTATAACATACGAGTTGCGTTTAACAAAACTGGATTGATTAACTGTGAGGAGTTTGTAAGTAGACAGAAACGGGTATGTAAAGTTGCGTCCTTGTTTTTACTTTAGAATAAACAAGGTAAATAATTGTTTCAAAATACAATGGGTAATAATTCTGGAACTCGATTTGTTGCCGAAAAAGGTAATGCAAGCGAGTTCTACTGGACATGTCGAGGTGGCGACACAGAAAGGGTTGAAGAAATGTTAAAAGGTATGACAAGAGAAGAAATAAGTAAAGTGGAACAGAATGGAAGTACAGCTTTACATGTTGCTTGCTACTATGGACACACAAAAATTATTAAAATGTTACTTGAACGTGGTTGTGATAGATCCGTGATAAATACATACAGCCAAACAGCATTTTCTGAATCGTCTTGCGAAGAAGTACGCGAGTTGTTTGAACGCTCAGATTCTGATAAGCGCCGATTTATGGATCCAGATGTAAGAGACTCATTTTCAATCGTACACACAAACAAAACCTTGGAAAAATCCGATATGCCGTACAATTATGTTAATCGACATAAAAATGTGAAAGTTGCAAAAGATGCTCAGTTAATGACCGGTATTTCTAAATCGATATTTAAAAAATTCGTCCAAGCACGAGTAGAATTACCTTTGGTTGATCAACTCGAAGAGATAGTTAACAAAAGTGTATTTTGTGATGATAGTGTCAGTACAATTGAATTAATTAAGACTCGTGAACTTCTGAATAAGTTCAAGGCAAAAGGTAAAAAGTCTGTTTGTGTTAATGCTTTGTTGACGCTTTATACTCTTGAAACAAAGTTTTATGAGGTGTTACGTCACAATGCAATCGCGTTCACATCCATTATATATATGCATCTTTCTGAGCTGGAAGATCGTGCCTATAAAGGATACTCATATCGAGGAGTGGCAATATCGAGCGAAGATTTGAAGGCCTATAACTGGGTGCATTCAGATAAAAAAGATATACTTGAGACATGCACAGTTCAATCAACATCGAAAAATATAGCTAGGGCAGAAAGTTTCGCAGAGAAGGCGATGTGTTCGGATAAACATAAAACTATATTTCAATTTAATTTTCCTGAAAAATGTGCAACAGCAATTGAGTTAAGAGAATTATCAAATTATCCAGTAGAAGAGGAAGTATTAGTTTTGCCATTTACTTTATTCGAAGTCGATGCCGTTAAAATAACAGATGAAAGGCATATTGTCTATTTGACAAATGTGCCTGTACCAGACAAATCTGCTTTTGCTAATTGGATAAAACTATAGGTGTCAAGACAAGTGCAGTAAGACTCTGCTATAAATTAAATGTGTGTTTCTCTAATCTTAAATTTATTGTGTACTTTTAAAATGTATCTTTATAAAAAGAATGATATGTAAATTTTTTTCTTATGTAATAATTTCTGTTATAAATGAGTGTTGAGAAAGCTATCTAAAAGAATACTAGAAATCTTGTCTTTTAGTTGACTAATCCGATGCTCCATGACATTATGTGTTGCGAACTTGGGCTTTTTTATACATTTAGCGCTTCATCTATCAGAAAACTCTTGAAAGTAACAGGAATTTTCGTAAACGACTTAACAATTGCATAGAAGAAGAATAAGTACTCTTATGCAATTCTAATGTATTTCTAATGAACTCTTTACTTACGAGGGAACGTTCTTAAGTGTCCCCTCGCTTTTTCAACGAAACCTAGTGGGTTATAGGTTATCGATGATGCTGATTTCGAATATGAATATGAGAGCTGCTCTTAGGGCTTCGAAGACTCGGTTTCTGGAAAATAACCAAAGCTTTTCTTAATAAGCTATGCTTGTAGCCCGCACATTTCTGATTAACATGAGATCTCTCCCTACTCTACATGACCTTTTTTTGCTAAGTTATAGAATTTACAAGAAAAGCCCTAAATATTCTTTGTCAACTCAAAGCTACAGAAGTAAGAAGAAATTAATTTACGGTTTTTCTTGTAAATTTTATAACTTTGCAAAGAAAGGTCACGTAGAGTTGGGAGAGATCTCATTTTAATCAGAAATGTGCGGACTACAAGCATGGCTTATTAAGAAACTGGTTTTTCAGAAACCGAGTCTTCGAAGCCCTAAGAGCAGCTCTCATATTCATATTCAGAATCAGCATCATCGATAACCTATAACTCATTAGGTTTCGTTGAAAAAGCGAGGGGACACTTAAAACGTTCTCTCGTTAGAAAAATTTCTCTTTTTTATATCTGCTCGATCTTGCTCCGTAGGCTGACAAATTTCAGTCCTGCAAGAGAAAATTGAAAAAATATCACATTTTGGTACTTAAATACACCTGGACTCTTAGTAAATCCTACTAGAATTATTGTCGAGTTAGTCGTAAACTATATTGCTGATACAGCTAGATTCTCTACTTCTGTCTGATTCATTCACTTTTGTCGCCTTACACGTTTCCTCGTTTCTTCTCTCATTTTCCTCTTGTACTATTTAGTATGGGTTAGCGAATCTGTAACAGTCAAGTGTTTTTTTTGTTTTTTTTTACGGTGACCACATGTATATGGATCCTCGATCCGCTTTTGAAGCTTGTAGTTTTTGGATTTTCTACTCTTACATCAATAAACGAGATTAAACCAAATCCTACTAGTTCTAGTTAAAGGTTCACTTCGAAATAAGTTCAGTAAATATTTTGTCCTTTCATATCCTTATTTGAATATACAAGAAATTACAAGTAATAAATAACGACAACAAAAATATGTCAATAAAAATTCACGTACAAAAAAAACGACATATACTGATATTGTTCTCCAAAACAAATATCACTTGGAGGAAAAAGATGTGATTTATTTATAAATGCAGCATTTCGGGTCATAATCAATTGTAAAGAGTATGTCTTAACAGTTAGTCTTTTCTGACCTTTCTAGCTTTTATACTTTTATTGCTTTATGCTTTTATGCTTTTATGACTTCAGTATTCATTATTATTTTTTCACTCACTCTCACTATGCGTCAACAAAAACGGTCTCACACCATCTCTAAAGAGAAATGGTAAACAGACTAAAAGCATTCTTTGAATCAGAAACAGGAACCAGAGGTGGGCGATGGACGAGGATCCTCGCGAGGCCCCGCGATTCCTCACGGGGCCGTCCTCGTGAGGAAGATTTTTTGAAAGCTGGACGAGGCACGGGGCGATGACGAGACAGGAACTATACTAGGCAAGCCCCGCGAGGGACATTTTTTTCTTTTTAACAAAAGGCGAAATGGAGACGCTGAGCGGAATTCTTTCTAGTTCACCTGAAAAATATGTTTATTTAGTACGTGACATCTACCACAGACACAGCAGCTTCCTCAAGTTGAAGATAAAACTCTAACAGTTGTATATTGTAAAGGTTATTTCTAACTTTGTTTATCTTTTCTTCTATCTTCCTGTTACGTGCTTGTACATATATAATAGGTGTGTTACACCAGAAAGTTGATTAGGCTATCTCCGAACCCCGGAATCCTATGGAGCTGTCCTTTGGTTTATAAGAGTCTGTCTACGTGAGAAGAGAAACAAGGTCAATGTGACCTATAGCAGTTAAGCACATGAAGGCGATTATCTTTCATATAGCAGCCAATATCATCGCTAGTGCTAGAATACCTTATTTCGATTGTTTTTGACCTTTAGAAGGTCGAAAAAGTCCAATACTAAAGTTTAACATTCAAAAATAATGAAGTTAAAATGAAAGTAAAAAGAGTTTTCGAGAGATCCCCGAAAAATCATAATCACCTGGTATTGGAATCTTGCCAAACCCTTGCATTTATTCAGTTTTTAATTCTCTATCTAACCACGTTTGAACCAAGTTTCTATATCTTTTGTGAGCGAGCTGAGCTGTTTTTATTTTAAAAAACGTTGAATTTTTTAAATTTTAAATTCAATTCAAAAATTGAAATTCTTAGTTGGAGACTTAATTTTTTTCCAAAATGTTCGCCTTTCGACGCTGAACCCAAATATGTTATTAAAAATGTTCCACGTCTTAACAGTGATTTTTAAAATCCTTTTTAAGAAGTACAAGTAGCCCAAAAACCATGGTTTGCTAGAAGTCCTACTTTCGCATTTCGGAGAAAACTTTCTAGAGAAGAAAAGAAACAGCACGTTGAGAAACTCTTATAAACCAGAGGACAGCTCCATAGGATTCTGGGTTCGGAGATAGCCTAGACCAAATTTCTGGTGTAACACGCCTTTTTATTAATAGTTGACGATGGGCGAAGCGGTGACGGGGCAGAAAGCTTACGGGGCGATCCCCGCAAAGTAGATTTCTCGAAACTTGACGAGGCAGGAAGTCCGCGAGGCGATCCTAGCGAGGGAGCTAGAGATAGTCCATCGCCCACCTCTGATAGGGACTATTCTCCATTCATAAAACGAACGATATGTTGGTATCTCTTGAATAACTCAAAAACGGAAAGAGGTAGAGAGACGCGGCTTTTGTCAATCGAAAGAAGAGTTGATGTAGCGTCTTATTGCATAAAAATTTTTCCGGATAGCCCTTTTAAAAGCCAGTTTCGGAACGAGTCTTTCAAAAACTTCTGCATACAGCTAGTACGTTTTGTTATATAAAAAATTGCAATGTTAACAGGTGTCTTAGAACTTCTTTTTATTTCCGACGTTCTTCGTTAAGCTAATTCATTTTAGCTTAATATTTCCTCATGTTTTATTACAGAAAAGAAATTCAAATCGACTAATCGAGGTTATTTTGCTGAAGTCTATTTCTAAATCCACTCTAGATTAGTTCGTAAGTCTCTTTGAAGACAATGCATTAGGAAGATATAGCTCTGATTGTTTTTCTGTATTCTATGTTTGAACTCGTACTCAAAGTTCTGTAAACAATGAGCCCAAATCTGTTTCTAGCCGCCGTTTCCGATGAAGAGTATGAAAAAAATTGTTTTGGTATTTTAAAAATAGAAATTTTTGAATTGAAATTTTGGCTATTTTCACTTATTTTTCGAAAAATCAACATTTAAAATGTTTTGCTGCTTATATTGTTTCATATATTCATAAATATATAAATTCATATATATATATATAAATTTGTAAAACGAATTGTACGCTTTAAAACTACTGTTTTAACGTTGGTTGTCTAATTCTTTACATGCAATCCAGACAAATTCTATCCAGAGTACTACATCAATAAAGCCAACAATGTATTGAACGATACTGATCCAAAATGAAAACATATAAGTTAGTTGTAAACAATAATTTATTTGAGCTGAATATGAAAATTGTACACTCCATCTTAATCTGTATATCCATACACTACTGATGACGAAAGGAATAGTGTATCCTATAAGATGAACAAATTTTTATATAGTAGTTCGTTCACAATTTGTTTATCGAGTTGAATCGTAGTATGGACAAGTAGATTTTCTATTTTCTGTCACTTGATATGCAAACGGATCGTTATTCTATCTAATGTCTTGCCGCTACTATTGAACACTTATATATTTAAGCAATCTACTATTCCATATAATCAAATACTACTATTTAATTTCAATCGAAGGTAAAGGTGAGTGTAATTCACGTTTAATTTATAAAGTATAGCAGAGAAAGACTGTAAGTTTATGAATGAAGGCAGCTTGTGTGAAACAACGCATTGTTGAATTTTCATAACTGCTCGATCGGCTATGAGAGACTTCCCACTCAGATTGTTTCTCTTAAAGCATGGTTGGAATATCCTAGACTCCTTTTACACTATCAAATGTCGATCGAAAAGTCCAAAACTATGTCCAGTTGTATTAACGAACCTGCTTCTGCGATATATAAACACACAAAATGGGTTTTGTAAAATTTTCCTCACATACTCACATTACCATGACATGTCTCCATATGTGAATAAAGATTATCAGACATTTGGACACCCCGGCGTTCGAGTGCAAGGGCATTTGGACGCATGTACGACAAAAGCATTCGGTAAAGTATGATGCATAACGATAAAATTTTCTTTCAACAAACTTGGTATGGTGTGAGAGCTTTTTACCCAGCAAACATCACCGATGGGAAAAATCTAGATAAATTTCGTCCGTAATCGGGCGATACATCGGAATTTTTAAAGAAAGCGCGTAGAAGAAAAGCTTATGGCTTTTGAACGGAAAGTCATAGCAACCTGCGGTTCAGGGTTCGATAGACGACAGTCGGCGGCACATGCCACCGTGGAAAAGTGATCTTCCTAGGCACTTTTTCCGACCAGATTTAGCCTACGAAACAGGATAACATATATTTCCAAAGAAATAACTTAAACAACTTTCACACACATATATATCTTGT